TAAATCAATAGTAAAACTCTGGGGGAGTTTTGTGATGCCTGAAGAGGCCTCTTAAGAATACTTCTAATACCACAGTGTATCTCAAGTGTCCTGTATTCCATTTGTTCCTGGCCCCTCAGTTTAACTCTTTCTTAGCTTCCTCTCTTCCCTTGGCTTTTCAGATATTTGGGAAAAGTTTGTGCTTGGAGCCATCCTCCTGTGTTCTCCAAAGCCTGCCTGAGTTTTTGAAAGATTGGGAAGAAAATACTATAATAAAATGTTCGTTCTCAGCAGCAAGGGAAAGGGTATTTTCATTTGGTTTTGTTTTAACTACTTCTGCTGTAGTTGTCATAAGTTCTTCCTTTTAGGAAAGGAGTCATGATTAATATATTTGTTAATTACATGCATCTAGAAGGCACAGAAATACATTGCTAATTATTTGAAATATTTATTGCAAACTCAAGGGTATGGTTACTGTGGGTGTTTGAGCTAAGCTAATTGCTTTGCAATTTTAAGAACTAGATTCTTGTGAACTAGGACCTAGGTTCTTGCAAAAGACGTAATTCTGAAAATCAGAAATATATTTAAATGGGCTAGCCTGAAACAGTCTACCTGAAGATTTGGAAGAAGTTCTCCAAATGCTATGTAGGGTTTTATTACTTGGCAAGCAGTTTCAGTTCTGAGGTATCTCTAAGGCTGGTGGCTTGTAATGAGTCAGCTGGAGAAGTGAGTCAGTTAAACCTAAAGAAAGATACCAATACTTCAAAAGATACAATTTGAAATAAATCATACTTTTCTGGCTGCAAGAAACCTTTATCAGACTAGTCTCTACATAAACCATCACCCATGTGTGTTTTCTCTGGCCTAATAAAAGGTGTGGCATCTGAAAGCATTGCTATGTGTCTTGGACAGATAGAACCAGTGAAGGGCAACCCCAGGGATGTAGAAAGTGTTGAGGGAAAAAAGCTGAGGGCAGTGGTAGGTGTTGCACTAAATCTGACTGAGACAACTGGGTGGGTGGGTTATGAAGGAAAGGAATGGGGTTAGAAGCCCTGGATGAATATGCTCATGTGTGTATCAGTCTAACATCAGTGAGCCCAGCTTTTGAAGTAGGTGGGATGCTAATGGGAGTCCTTTGCAGGTGTATGCTGGTTATTTTGTAATTTTTTATTATGGGAAATAAATGTAAGCTATGGGAGAGGGGCCCTTTATCAAGCACACCTCCAGAAGTGTTGGCTTTTCATTCCTAGGAGGAATGAAAATTATTTCATTTTCCTTCTTACAGTATCTTTCTTAGCTCTTAGTGTTGCAGTAAAATGAACATCACTTCTGAGAGACAATGGAGGTCTTTAGAGAGCTCAGCTTTCATTATAAACTAGACTATTTTCCACCACAAAAGGAGATGTGGTTAGATCCAAGAGCTATGATGCTCTCTCCTTCTCCTCATGTACCACCTCTGGATGCCATGTCTTGTGCTGCAATGGGGCAGGGGGATGACAGCCCCTGAAGAAAAGGAAGACAGAAGATGCAAAAGGGAGAGCTCCATAATCTCTACTTAGCAAGCAGCAAGAAGACATGCCAGGCCAACCCACTGTCTGTTTTAGGCATGTAGTACAGGCACTCTTCATGTCATTCTACCTCTCCCATGACTTGAGGGAAGACACAGGCCCTTTGGACACACTTAAGAAATATTGCAGTGACATACTCTGCCCTTGGGCTGCCTCTGGTGGAACCGAAGGTAGGGTGGAAGGATGATTATGTGACAACAGATATTCATGTGCCATATAGACCTCCATTCTGATAGAAAAGGTAAGCAGTGAGAAGCCTCACAAGTCCAGTGTTTATAGGTTCATCACAGCTCGTTCTTCCTTTCCTCCCTTCTGGCTGTATATACATATTTTGTCACTGATGCCTGCATGTCCCCTCATTCCAGCTAGGTGCTCAGTGCAGGAATTTCTCATGTCAGAGAGAGTGGGTGACATATGGTTGTCTTAGGGGCTGCAAGGGGTAGTTAATCCTTTTAGCCTGTTACCTGATGCCAGGAATCAATGTGGCAGCTTAAAAAACACACTGGTGGCTCCTTGACAAAGGTAGCTCTTCTTTCATATTTACTTTTTCACTATGACTGGGTCATCAAAATATGAGTTTCTCTTTTTCACACAGTGTCTTTGCAGAGCAGCTTCTCTGAGCCAGATGTCAGCTCTGATAGGATGTGGACTTCAAAACCAAACCATGAGGAGTTCACTCAGAGGCAGGACCTTGGGCACCCATGTTGCATTGTGATTTTTCCCTTGGCACAGCCTATATGCCTTGAAGACCGTGAGAAACAGAAGAATGAAAATTAACTGAATTTGGCCCAAAGATATAAAGCATAAAATACTACAGCGCCTCTTAGACCCACAATGATAAACCATCCTCAGATGCAAACATCTTGCTCCAGAAGTACTGGAACTAATGAATCCTGATTTCCTACAGATTTATGTTCTGTGGGTTGACTGACTTGTGTGGTCTAAGAAGATGTATGCTTTTTGGGTGGCTGGAGAATGTGTGAGGTCTCTCTCTGCATGGATTTGTTGCTTTCTCATAAGGTGTGTTCACAGTGTGCTTTCTCCAAATCTGGGCAATAGATTTGGGATGACTGTCTTTAGCCAGCTGCTTATTTTTAGAGGCTTCTGAGAATGTATTTTTATTGGCCAGTAGAGTCAAATGCTATTCGGAGGGAACACAAATATTGTACAAGCCTTGCTTCCACAGGCAATGGGGATAAACAGCTATTGTTCTCCCTTTGCCCTCGGCTCCACACTATCTTCTGTCTTTCATGGTCCTGCTGCCTTTCCCACTTCTTGGAAATGGATACACCCTGTGGGCCTAAGGAAGCAACCTCTTTCCTGGTTTATTCCATCATTTCAGGTGAACCTGCCCTGGTACTACCACCTTTATCCTTGTCTCTCTTATATCTTTGTTTCAGAAAAGAACTAGGTTCAGGAACAATTCACCTGCTGCTAAGAGAAATGATTCCTGGAAGGTCAGACAGGCTTAGCCATGTTTTGTCTGTTGTAGTAATACTAGCTGTAATCTTTTCTTCTCTGCAGGTAAGAAGGAAGAGATTTGCTGTGTAGTCCAGCTTTTGACAACTGGAACCATTGTATTGAATATATTTCTTAATAAAATGAAAAAATGGCCAATTATATTTTAATGTTGATTCATATGATCGAGTTTGGTAGATGTTCAATAGGAACCAAAGCATCCCTGCTTTAAATGCATGCCTTTGCCCAATGGGATGTTGACTGTAAGGTCAGCTGCCAATGACAAGAACACACCAATACACACTTAAGAATCTTGTATACAACAAGGCTGAAAGATCTCAGTTGAAAAATATTTTCCACTGATCAAGCACTGTCAGTTTTTCATACTACATAATGGATGCTCAAAAAAGGAGGTGTAGTGTTGATATGTTTCTCCTTTATGACGTCTAAATTAAGTGCTCTAACTGGTCTCAAGCCACTTGCAGGTGGGCTGTGTGTTTTTAGTTCCATTTATTTTCATTTCAGTGATAAATAATGCTGAGTAGGTTATTTCACATTTTCTGATTTTAAGGAACACTGCAGAAATACTGGCAATTCCCTTGCAAGAAGCTAGCTGACAACCAGAATTTGCAACCTTTAGAAAGCACAACTGTATAAGAACATTTCCATTTTGCTTGGGAAGAAAAGAATCAATAGTTCAGAAAGGTACCTATGACATTTTCAATTTGTAAAACATTTAGGTTATTCTTTAGAATTTTCTAGAAGCAGTAGGGAGCTGTTCTGTTTCTGGGGAGCCAGTGATTCCTGATGTCTCCCATGCTATCCCTTCCTGGTAAGAGTCCTGTGGAAGCCCAGGGAGTCTCCAAAACTGACATTGAAAAATAGGAAACTGGGGCAGGCTTCAGAGGAGGCACCCCAAATTATCTGAAAATCAGATTTTTCTGCAGGACATTTTGATTTTGCCATAGCAACATTCACTAAATTGAACCAGTTCAGCCATCAAACTTCCCCCTCACTTCTGCTCCCAGGCGCTCCCCAGCAGCATTCCCCTGCACCCCAGGCTCTGGCTCCCCGTCTCTCAGCCAAACCAAATAAAACCTTCAGTTCAGCAGCCAAACGCGAGCTCGGCGGTGGCAGGCATGGGCGCGGGACTCCTCCTCATCCTGCGGGACTCCTCTAGGTGGGGCAGGCGAGTTTTCGCAGAGAGCGGAGCCCGCTCGGCGCCGCGGCTCTGCCGAACTTCCCAGCGGAGGGCGAGGCAGGCAGAAGTTCCGAGCGGACCGCGGGGCCGTGGGCTGCGGGCTCCGAGGTGTTCGGACTCACTGGGACCCAGCTGGGGACATTCATGACAAACTCTGCGAGCGGAGGAGACGCGCACTGGCACCTGTGAGAGCCCGAGCGAGCGGGACCCTGCGCCCTGTGCCCGCCGGAGCAACTGCGGGCATCGCGCTCTCTGTGCCCCCGGAGCAGCTGCGGGCATCCCTCTGTGCCCGCCAGGGCAGCTGCGGGCATCAGCTGCGGGCATCCCGCTCTCTGTGCCCCCGGAGCAGCTGCGGGCATCCCGCTCTCTGTGCCCCCGGAGCAACTGCGGGCATCCCTCTCTCTGTGCCCGCCGGGGCAGCTGCGGGCATCAGCTGCGGGCATCCCGCTCTCTGTGCCCCCGGAGCAGCTGCGGGCATCCCTCTCTCTGTGCCCCCGGAGCAGCTGCGGGCATCCCGCTCTCTGTGCCCGCCGGGGCAGCTGCGGGCATCCCGCTCTCTGTGCCCGCCGGATCAGCCCTTCTCCGGGCTTCGGAGGCAGTGAGCCCGTCTGTGCAAGGTAAGCTCCCGTTTCTGTGAACCCGTCTGTGCAAGGTAGGCTCGCGTCGAGTTCGTCGGCTGCCTCTCCCCAGAGCCAGCGTGCTTCTGGGACGGGATCTGCTCTGGCACGGGGATGTCACTGAGGGCTGTGGCTGGAAATTGTCTGGGGTTTAGGCTTCGTTTGAAAGAGGTCTACCTTCCAGTGAGTTTCTCTGCTGCTAGAACAGCAATAAAGAACTGCTTTTACTCTGCGAATCCTAGAAAGTAGCTGCAGCTCCTGGTAGTACCTTTGGTAAGAAGTTATTTTCTTTGCACAGAATGTGTGGTGGACTTTTTTTTATTATTAGAAGTACTGATGTTCTGACTGGTTTCTAAACTCTAGAGGATCCAGTTGGTTTTTTATTTCAATAGAAGTATAAATTTCTCCAAAGGATTGTGGAACTGCTCTTTTGAGTTTTGTTAACATTGAAAACTAATTTGCATTTATTTTTTAATACACATGTGAATACATGTTCATAGCATTCTGATTTTTATTCTCTCTGCTTCCACAATCTCTCTGTGTAAGGGTACTGAGGCTAAGGTCCAGAGAGGAAAGTGGACTACTGCCCAAACTGAGAAGTACTTGGGCAGAGTGGTGTTGCACACCTGCTCCAAGCAAAGGACTATGTAGCGTGGTGCCAAATAGCTTTGAAATGCCCAGCTATGCTTGGGGGAGCAGAGCTCAGCTGGGACTGCAGAACCTGCTCCAGTGGTGAAGTGGCCTCTGTGAACCTTACACAACTATGAAAGATTGCAATTTGTACTGAGCCTGGGTGGTTTTAGCTGCTGCTGCTACAGCTATATACTGCACTGCTACTGTGTATTAGAAAAAGTGCAGCTAGACACTGGTGTGCCAAGGAGAAAAGGTGTTTTCATTTTTACAGCCAGTGAAGCTTTAGATATGATATGAAAGGGCAATGGATGGCACTTAGGATCTGTTGCCCATGGGGTGAGATCCTCATCAATAGCACAACAATGCCAAGGAGCGTAGTGACCACCACCTCCTTGGGGTACCACCCCAAACCTCTCTACATGCCTCAAACTACAAGGAAATCTTTCACACTTTTGGCTGCAGTTCATTTGAGTAGACAAGGCCAATGGCCATACTGCCCTTCCTCTACAGCAGAGGTGGGCGTTGATGTTGTGTGCTGCAGTTTCAAATTATAGGTCTTGAAATGTTTTGGGCAAGTGGCAGAAATCTCTGGCAGCTCTATGGGAAAAATTGTGGGAGATCACAAATTTTAAAAGGAAATTAATGTGACTTTGCAAAGCAGGGTCAAACCCAATGACTGTTATCAGGATTATTCAGTTCTTTGTTCTTCTCTCTCAGAAATGCCTAAGTTGTACAATGTGAAAAGAAAGAAAGTTTGGGTATCCTCTATTGAAGACCAATACTAATAAGAAATTAATTGATAAATTAAAAAAGACAAGAACTCTCAAATAAAGGAAATACATTCAACAGCAGCAAGTTGGCTCCATACCACCCAGTGGGAACAATTCCAACTTCAGGTAACCTCCTGAAGATCACTGATAATGTGGTCAGTGATCACATTTTCACTGAAGATCATTGACAATGGTGAAACTTTTACCAGACCTTAGCCCATTTCTTTTGGTTGGTAGGGCAGAGCCTAGCTATGTTTTGTTTGTTTGTAGTCTGACCACAAGAAAGAGCTCAGATGAGGATGTGCCCAGAAAAAGCCAACAGGCTTTTTTTTAATTTTTTGAGTACATAGATAGCTTTTGCAGAAAACCACTGGCATAAATAGACTGATTTTTCTCTATTGCAGCTAAATGAAAAACATGTCATGTTTTAATTTTTCACATAGGATGGTGAGATGGTAATTTTCAAGGCATCATACTGAATGGTGTGCCATGGAAATCATCTCACCGAAAATGTTGAACTGAATGCAATTTTACCATAGTGTTGTTAAGAACTCTTCTGAAAATTACTTTATGTGGAACATTTCAACTTTACGGGTTAAGGTGGCATTTCTTGGAGGACTGAAATATTTTAACAGAGTCTAAAGTTTCTAACTGAACCCATATAGCTGTGCTAGATCCAAGTCTCAGTTTTCAAGAAATAGCAGCATAAGCTTTTGAAGATTAGATTAATATTAAGATAATGTTTTTCTCATGTTGTCATCAATGGAGGAATTCCCCTCTAATATCATCAACAAGTGTTGTTTCCTTTAACCATGCTAGGATGGAACTGGGTCTCAGATCATATCTATGCTATTTCTCTTTTCAGCTAAAAGGTAGATAAATTGCAATGTGAACTACTGCCTATAGCAGAATAACCAGAGAGGTGCCAGCATGGCCCCACCCTACATGAGTCATTGGTGTGAAGCTGAGTGTAGAGCAGCCTTTCCATTCACTCCTGAAAAATGTATCTAATTTCTCCGTCTGATTATTCTGAAACCAGGCCTTTACTGCCTTCTGGTGCCCTCCCGGCCCTCAAAACCCAGTATATATTTTATGATGCAATAGAAGGCAACAGGTACCCCTTTTTACTCAACAGGTCCTGTAGCAGCAGCTTTTGTTGCAGAAAACCCTGCTTCCCTAACATGTAAAAATGTTCTGGCTGGTGTGTCAATAGGTCAGGGAGCTATTTGCGAAAACAGAGGAACTTTCTTGCCATGTATATTCCAAGAAGGTAAGTCCCTGTAAAGAATTAGATTATTACTGAACAAGGACAGAATTGTGATGTGTAAGACTAAGACTGTCCACCTTGGCAAAGTGTAACTGATTTCTGCCAACGGTCACTTTATGGACCACGTGTTCGACTATACTTGTCCCAGAAAACTAAGAACCTTCATACAGCAAAGACTAGAACATTCAAATATTATTTGGAGGCCAAGTAACTTGCTGTTCCTTTGTTTGATTTATCACTCATCCAATTTTATTACAAACGGGTAAAATTCTGGGCTGATGCAGTCAATGGCAAAACTTCCACAAGGGTGGTGCGCCCAGCTCTTGCTGGCTCTTTGGCAACATTCAGTGATCAAACACTTTTTCCTGAACTATATTAACTTTGCACACATTTCTCTGACTTGACATAGATCAGCTTTTTCAGTTTCTTTCCACTGGGGAAATCAGAACAAAAGTAGAAAGGACATTATTTTCAAATTCAGAAGGAGTCCATTTGAAACAAAAAAATAAAAGATAAACAAAAACTACTTTAAAAGCATTATCTGCTATTGTCTTATGAAGAAGTTAAAGCTTTGCCAGTGGATTTTCAAATCTCTGTGGAGATGGAGTCAGGGCCACATCCTCCTGAATCTGACGCAAGCAAGGGCTAGTTTTGAAATGTCAGAAGTGTCATTCTGTGAAGTTAAGCCACAATGCTTGAACTGAATCACCCACCATGAATCTAGCAACAGGTTTTACAGTGCCACATTGCCATAATGTCTGACCATCTGCAGTGCAAAATCAATAGCTAAGTCCCTGGTGGATTTCATATAATTTCTGGCATTCTTTTTCAGACTCTATTCTGCAGAGCTGAGATTTTTTTTTTTTTCATTTGGTGCCTTAAATTCTTCCTGTTTGCTTTTTGGGAGTAGATGGCTGGTAAGAGTTTATATAGCACAAGGGACTCCCAGAGCTATGTTAGTTTTATAGCAGAAAGGCTTTTTGAGGAGGCTGATGTTGTCCCATTCCCTGTCCCACAGAGAGCCTCTCCAACAGTTGGTGATACCTCACCTGATCCTTGCTTCACTTGTTGTGCATAGGAAGCTAGGAGGGTGTTAATGACCTGACTATCCAGAGTCCTGCTCTGCTAATAAAATGTGCATGGTATACTGTGTTTTGAAAATGTTACTTTGATACAGTAAATAGCTATGGGTGAATTGGGAAGAAAAAGCAAAAGAGTTCAGAAAACTTAGTTTGATTATACTTGCAGCATCCTGAATGTTGATGGACCTGAGACCCTTTTGATTTTCAAGTCTAAGATCAATCTAGTTACTACCCTTGAGCATCCAGCTCTTCTCAACCAATCTTCAGTGAGATACTTGCTCCCTACTGGAGCCTGGCATAGAAAGATCCATAACTTACAGTTTCTTGCTGTCTTTGTCTCCGCTGTGTAAGCACTGATGGATGCACATCCCCTGAAGGTCATGTTAATGAGCCTCTGGTTCTTTGGGCTTTGCAGCCAGGAAGGACATGGTGCTGCAAAACTTAGCTGCATCCAAGTCCAAACTAGCTCTTTGGCAAGAAGGAACCCAGGAAAGATTCATCCTTTTCCCTACCTCCATATGTATATGAAGACTAGGCTTTATCCTCTGTACAGCAATGTAACAGACTGGGGACCAAAGCAGAAACATATGGACAAATAATGAGAGAGCTTTAATTCTGACAGTGCATCCATCTCTTCCTTTGGATATATCGCAAGCAAAAATTACTGAAGTGCCAGTTAAGCAGCATACAATTATTTGCAGATTGAGTGTCATAATATTGCATTTCATGTGAAGCAAGAACCATTTTATTAGTTCAGGATTAGATATTTGTAATTATCCAGGCTAGAAGGATGCATTCCTAGGACATGCTCCATTTTTCATTTGGAACTCTATTCTTCTTGGGAGAAGGATCAGGGATGGAAAAAGATCTGTACAGTAATAGCTGATAAATTGAGGCTTTCTAGAACTTGGCTTTTGTCACTGAAAAGAAGACTTAAAGACCCTGTACATCAATATCACACTTCTTGGAAGAGAAACACTGGGACTGCAAAAATATGAGGAACAGATAGTATCAAAGGTTAATATAGGCAGAGTCTGTTAAAATACCTGGTGCTGGTTTATAGCCCGGTCTAGTTAGGAGCTATGGAACAGACAACATCCTCAAACATGAAGGACTTCAATTTACCTCTTATAATGAAGCAAAACTTGAAATTACCATTCTAAACTAACATTTCTCTTCCTATTGGAGTTCACAAAAAAACGGGAAAGGCTGGGGACAAGTTCTCTTTTTCTCACTCAAGATTTTGCCATTTCTTCTCTCAGTGGGTAGTTGTGACAATGTGTCCCCCGAGTTAGACACGTTTGTATTTACAAACATAGGAAAGAATGATCTGTGGGCTGCCAAGCAAAGCAGCAGCACCTTCAACTGGCCACCCCCTTTCTTTCTCAGTGTTTACCACCTGCACAGCAGGCATGGCTCAATGGCTTGTGGGCTCACCTCCAAGCCACGGGAGTTTATGGGCTGGCGGATCCACGTAAGCCGAGGCTGGCGTAAAGTCTGGCAGCCTGAAGCTGGTTTCAC